GACTTTGCCCTTTTTCTGGCAAACTTTATATTTGAGATCAAAGAGCTGTTCGTTCTGAGGTGGACCAGGACTGGTAGCTAATGTAACAGTTTGAAGTTGAACGAGCTAGATATGTCGTGGGACGTGTACGCAGTGCTTGACATTGAAGAGAACTCTCAGTTTAGGCTGGATCTGATCAAGGGAAACGAGCACTGAAGATCGATCCGTGTTAATTTCATTTTACTCTATTGCTCTCGATATATTAAGTATAGTTATAGTGCTCAAAAAGGCGGGGAAGAGGGGGTTGCTATGAAGCTAAAGATATGCTAATCTAATTGATAATCTTTTCTTAAGCAGGGAAATTTGGACTTATAACGGAAGAAGAAAACTAATGGCGAACTCGATGGCCCCTTGCGGTGGACCTGACTTATGGCACTTTTCAAAACAGTAGTTACTGCGACCCATTCAGCCAGCTTTATGACTTTACTAAAAACTTTCTCCGTGATATCCTAGCGTTATCAATACTCCTATTTCTTCAGTGAACCTTTCTTTTACATCTGGTTCTGGAACCAGTGAGCGATCTATTATTTTCGTCTGAAGATTTCTAATTAAAGGCTCACTTCGTTCAGTATAAATGCAGAGTAGGGAAACCTCCAGAAAATGTTGACGTTCGACGGGCAAGAAGCTGGCGAACAAGAAAATTGGTAAATATTCTATTTGAGCTCTTCTTGCAAGACATTCAGTAAGCAACATGACCCACTAGCTACGAGTGCGCCTGATATTGTTACTTCCATCTCGTTCATTTGCACCTATGAATCGGAAACCTCGTGGTAATTTTGACACCGCTCTTTGTGGCGACAAACCACAGCCAAGAGATAAACGCAATGAGTCAAATCAATTCCAATATCAGAATGCCGGAAAATGATGTCGCGGAGTAAAGGATCGCATCGAATTCTGTTATTGTTTCGACTCCACCCGCCTTGATACTTCTCTATTGCGCTTACTCCAGTAAAATTAGTTCTTTACAGGTAACAAGGTCGGCAATGGCGCGTTACTTCTCTTTTCCACTACTACTGGTAGGTTTTGTAGCGAGGATCCTGTACAGGTACTGCAATGATGTGATAGTTGCATTATTCAGATGGCTCTGCTGCTGATTAGTACGGTGATTCCGAGCGCTTCTAGCAAGAAAACAAGCGTAGATAAAAAGAAACCGTGAGTATTTTTCGTAGCTATTGTTCTGTCGCAAAGAGGACTTACTTGGAAAGGCAAAACTTGTGTGATTGCTGGAGAAGTGTTTTTGCAGCTCTGTCAAAAAGGTCAAAGGGGCGAGCGCGAAAGCCGGAATACCACGTGTCAAAAGATTCTCTATGCCAGTGTGAGAATCGACTTTCTCCTGATCAACTCCTAGAAATGCTAACCACGGTGATTTCAGACCTGGACGTGGATAAAATCTTCAATGGAGTAGGAACATTGTGGACCGAAGCGTGGTGATTCAACATCAAGAAGAACTGCACCAGTTTTTCTCTGGAATCGTTCGGTAGCTACGCTTGTTCCTACTCCGTGATAAAACTATTGGAATAGTTAACTTTTATAAGGTGAATTCCAAGCATGGTACAAACAAACCCAAAAACTATACATAGGAAAAGTCAGAAAATGTCTCAGCGATCATGAATAATGGTAGTCCCATGAAGTGATGGTCAAATAAAAACCATGTCAGAAAGTGATAACAGCCAATGGGAGCTGACAGAAGGCCTAATGAAGCAGTATTCACTGTATAATTTTTAGATTGCGAAGTAGAACCTAACCAACCGAATCACCGAGCCTTCCTCCTTGACAATACAACGCTTTGAACATGTTCCTCTACGAAAAAACCAAAGCCATTTTGAATGTAAATTTAATAAAATACAAATACTAGCGAAAAACATTACATTACAAAATCGCAAAATAAATAATCATGAAGTTAATAAGCATAAAGTTCAAAAACTAGTCCAAAGTATTGCAAGACTTATCTTCCTCCTAATAGTAATCGCTGACGTAGGTTCTCAGGTTATTGATGGTAGAACAGCCTTCGTTGTATCCGACACAGGGATAGAGAGAATACATAGTGTCTTCGTGGAATAAAGAAATGGATAAATTACCGCGCTAACAATGAACATCGGTTACTGAATGGATCCCTCGAAACATCAAACGAACACCAGGACGGCCGCCAGCACGATTGTCAGACTTCTTCACTGAAGCTCGCCATGAAAAGTGCTATGTTTCGTGCCGTTCGAGCGATAAGGATCTACTGTACCGCTTGGCTCACGACAGAGACGAATGGCGACCTTACTTTTGCTTGCTCAGGAAATCGATGATCAACGGGCTAAAGGTGTCAAAGGTGATGAGATGACAGAATAGCCCATATTTCTACTAGCAACACTCATGAAAGAGTGCTATGTATCTATGAATATAACAAAGCACTAAACCACATTGCACAGGTCGCGACACCTACTCAGCATACCAAAAAAGGCTTTAGTCTCAATCATCTGTGCTTTAGTTCAAACTTATAGGAAGTCTATGAAGTTCAAATATAGAACCGTTGCTCGATATAGTAGCATGACCCCTTCAGCAGGAGGAACGCACAACATTTTCATTTTCATTAAGGTCAATTCTACTTTAGTTTTAGGTCCATTCTACTTTAGATTTGAATTGTATCTTTTCTTTGAATGCATGCCCCGCCCATAGTGAGCGGAGCATTGCTGAGGTTGCGCATGTCCAGCACGTATTAATCTGTTCTTGCATGGATATATCAAGAATTACGGCTAGAATTCATTTTGGAAATGCATTTCAACGTAAAATTCACTCCTGAATATCAAATCAACGTACAGTTCCTCTTCCTTTTCTCTTTTTGAGTTTCTTTTCTGACAAACTTTCACCGGAGGTCTTGTAGTTGCAAGCGGCGTTTCACACACTCATGATCAGGTGTTCGGATCCCGAATCGATGTCGGCCTAGGCTAACCGAGCCTTCCACCTCGCTAACATGTACATCGACTGCAAGTCGTTGTATAGGCCACATACGCTTCANCACGCCACTACGATTCTGAATGGAAGTCGAATGCATGGGCGCACATGACAAACTTTATATTTGAGATCTAGGGGCTGTTCTGAGGTGGACCAGGACTGGTGACCGATCGTGGCATGCGTACGCAGTGCTTGACATGAAACAGAATTCTTAATTTAGACTGGATCTGATCAAGAGAAACGAACACTGAAGATCGATACGTGCTATTCTCGGTTTACTCTATTGCTCTCGATATTGTAACACAAGTATGGAACTCAAAAAGTCTTAGAAGTGGGGTTAGCTTAAGGTTAGCGAGGGAATGTCGAAGATGGGGTATTGAACCATGCAGGGAAACATGTGCGGTGCAAGTCGAGACTGACGGAAGCTATTTCCTCTTTTGGGCCATCCTCTCATGCCCGCCGATACGCAGGCAAAAGGGTGCGGTGCGGTTGTGCGGTAGGAACCAGTGCGGGACTCTGACGACCGTCCGTCCAATAAGCGTTGTAGTTACTTTGCGCGTGTGATGTAGTGTGACGGCCGCAATAGAAGACAGTGCGCAAAAGAGGTCATACGAAAGTCACGACAGCCAGTCCTCGAACAATCATGATGAGAAGTGTGAAATGTCACGTAGCGATACCGATACCGTGTATCTTGATCTCCAATCAATATAGATCGTTTTGTAACGCCATTGATGTTTGGGGTGCAATTTCCTATAAGAAAATATATGGTTCTCTTTCTCTGCCAATTGTCTTCTCTACCAATAGTGCCCTGCGGGCTTCTTGCCAGTTGTCGTTCAAACTCTTAAACTCAAACTTGGGTAATTACACCTTTATATGTGTAAGCGAGAACAAAACCAACGTCCTGCGGTGAAAAGCTACAATCGCCACGGAGAAAGCGGAAAACCACTTCCTCATAAAACAAGACGAAGAGGAAAAAACCTTTTTCAATTTATTCTCGGAGAAATACGAAGACGTACTTAAAACAAAGAGAAAGAAGACAAAAGTACGCTCGTAATATGTTTGCTTGCTTTTCATACGAAATCTCCGCCGGTAAAAGATTCTGCGAAGCGCAACATTCGCGGGGCTATGGGAAATCTCGCTTTTTTCAATATAGCTCAGGTCCGAAATTTTTGATTGAAAAATTTGAAATCATTAAGTGAGGAAATCCT